TTTTATAAATATATTTATAAAGAAATATATATAAAAATATCATATTATACTACATATATACATTTTATACATATTATACATATGAAATATATTATTTCTGTGTGTGTCTATCTAGATAGATAGATTATAAAATATATCATATTATACTACATTTTCGGTTTCCCCGAAAATAAGACACTGTCTTATATTTTTTTTGGCTAAAAAAAAACTAGGTCATATTTTCAGGGTAGGTCTTATTTATTTTTTTTTAATGTACAACTATCCAAAGTTAATGCAAATCCAAATTAAATTAATCCAAAATGGCAAAGTTAAGAATAGGGTGATCAGGGCAATCACGGGTGCCGTACCTTTCCAAGAGCAATTTGGTAACCAGAATGAGCGAAGCACGCTTTCACTATGAATCCTCATAAGCAGAGTGCATTTGGTATCACTCCGCCTGTGACAGGAGTCGGCGCTATAGAGGAAGCATCGGCTTATGCGGCTCTGCTCCCTCCACTGCCGTCTCGCTTCTTCTAGCGCTGGCTTCATTGGCACCACTGATTCTTTTCCGCCTCTCTCACGACTCCTCAAGCTCCCCCTTATGCCACCACCGGCCCTGTGAATGGTCACAACTACGTCTTATTTTTGGGGTAGGTCATATATTTTAGCAATTCCCCAAAATAGTACTAGGTTTTAGTTACAGGGTAGGTCTTATTTTCGGGGAAACGCGGTAGTAACATAGTATTTGAGGTTGAATAAAGACACTGGTCCATCAAGTTCAACCTATTGTGTGTATGTATGTGATCGTGCATGTGTATGCGTGTATACAAGTCCCAGTGTGATCTTGTTTTTAAGAGTACCTATACCCCTGTATGTTGTGGTCTCTAAAGAAGGTCTATATCCATGTGCACAACATTTCATCTATACCCATAGACCTCAGCTTGTGTACTGAGCGTTTATGTGGTACTGTGTAAAATGCTTTTGATAAATCCAGATATACCATATCCACCAGCTTCCCTCTATCCAGATCTCTACTTACCTCTTCTTAGAATGTCAGTAGGTTGGTCTTATAAGAACGGTCCTTTCGAAATCCATGCTGATTATCATTTATTATACCATTGTCACAAACAAAATCCACTAAATAGTCCTTTATCATCCCCTCTAACAGTTTGCATACTATTGATGTTAGACTGACTAATCTATAGTTCCCAGGTTGGCATCTTGACCCTATTTTGAATATTGGCACTACTGTAGCTTTTCGCCAGTTACTTGGTACCTTACCAGTCATTATGGAGTCCTTGAAAATGAGGAATAACGGACTCACTATAACATGGCCGAGTGACATGTGATGTTATATTTTAAAAAATTCAACGCAGTGTGCATGAGGCCTAAGAGCCAATTCACACCATATGCAGTTGGGATGCAGTCCGTTTATTTTGACTGCTGCCTTCAAAATACATCACAATGCTTTTCTATGGGCTTTCTTGTGCCTAATTCACACCATTGCAGTCAGTTCAACTGCAGTCAGAAAAAGTACTGCTTGTCCTACTTTAACTGCATCAAAACACGGTGCAAACGCACCGGAACGCATTGGTAATGCATTTTAAAAAATGACTCAGATTTGAATGTCATCATCCAGGACTTCCTGGTTGGAGTTTGGAGAGAAATAGCAGAGATGGAAGGTGTGGATGCTGAGGAATGTATTCGATATGTGCGGGACTGTCCCCTGCTGTACGACAGCAAACATCCCCAATATAAAAACAATCGCCAGAAGATGGCCAAGAGGAGGGAGATAATAATAATCTTCCCATTATTTTCTGACCTAGGGAGATTAGTTACTAGGACAAATAGAGTCAATCAACCCATTAGGGACACCTGCCAAGGGTTCCCCAACTATTCCCCGCTCTATCTAAACATATGTTGTTCTCATTTCACCAAATTATCTTTTTTTCCTCTTAAATCTTTTCAAAGCGCCTTTTCCCCACTATTGTATACCATTCTTGTCCCTTCTATTTTTGTCTGTAAGTGTTTTTTCTTTTTGCATCTTTCTTTTGGAGGGAGCTGGAAGGAAAGTTCAGTTTATTCCAGAAGATTAGGACAGGCTCAAGCACATGCACATATAGTGGCTCATTTCCCTGTGTACAGCCACAGCCAGGCACGCATTAGCATGCAGGCGAGTGCGCATTCATGTGCATGCTAAGTGGCAAGTGCATGGACATTCATGCACGCTTGGTACTGTTGTTGGCACCAAACGGCCTATAAAAACTGGCGTGTGACATGGACAGATTGCTGAGTGATCTTCAGCAGTTCCTAAAAACCTGCCACGCAACTTGCTGTTCAGATTTCTGTGTGTGACCCTGCTTGCCTATTTGACCTGCTTCTGGATCTTACCTACTTGTTGTGACCCCAGCCTGTACAATGGACTTTACTTTCTGCCTGCTGATTTTGTACCTCAGTGTCTGGTTGTTACTGACCCACAGCGTGCTTCCTGACACTGCCTCTGTCTGCTGATTCAGTACCTCACTGCCCGGCTGTTCCTGACCTCTGACTTGTATTCTAACGAAGCCTATGCCTACTATCTCTGTACCTTGCTGCCCAGCTGTTGCTGACCTCTGGCTTGCATTCTGCAGATGCCGCTGCCTACCATCTTTGTGCCTCGCTGCCCTTCAGTTAGGGACCCATGGCTTGCTTCCTGACACTGCCTCTGTCTGCTAATTTGGTACCATTAAACAATTGTGCACCTAGGTGCTGCAAGGGGTCAGAGATCCCCATCTATTGTCAACGTGAATAGTTGATAAGGCTAAACCTATAATTTCTCTGATTTGGTATCATGCTGCATGGCTGTTGCTGACCTCTTGCTTGTATTCCAATGATGCCTCTGGTCTCTGTATAGGTGCCCATACACTGTACGATTATCGTACGATAATCGCGGTAAATCCCGCGGTCATAAGATAATCGCAAAGTGTATGGAAGGCGTGCGACCGTTTGTACTGTATGATCGCACGTCTTCCGTTGAACAAGCAGGCTGGAAAACCCGCCAAGAATCATACAATTCTCGGCGGGTTAGAGGCGTGCTTGTTCGACAACTACCGAATGGGCCGGTGTGCGCACGCACAATGCCCGTTCAGCATAGCAGTGTTTGGAAGCCCCCCCCGCAGCGGGGGGGGGGGAGGGCTTGCGAGCCCCTCAGGGGGGGGGGGGGAGGGCTTGCGATGATAGCAAGTACGATCTGCCTGTCCAAGATGGGCAGATCGTACATTTATTAATTACTTTACAACCTTTGCGAGGGTTGTAAAGTGTATGGCCAGCGTATCTCGCTACCTAGCTGATTCTGTACCTCACCAGCTGAGGTGTTCTTGGACCTGATTCCTGCTCAGTGATCTACAGTTATCCTTTACCACACACATGAGGACTAGCTTTTCCTGTAACTTTGGCCCTAGTGTGGTGTAGGGACAAGAGGTGCAGGAGGAGCCCCTTCATCAGCTTGTTCTCTACCGGGTATGTGACAGAAGCAAGGAGATCAGAAGTGCTGGATAGCTGATGAGGATGTCTGCCCAGCTGGGTCAAGGAACTCTCAAATCCTTCTAATGCTGGGCACACACCTTACAACCAACGCAAGACTTTTGTCTTGCGATGGTTGTAAGGTACTTAACAAAACGTACGATCTGCCTATCTTGGACAGGCAAATCGTACTT